CGCCCGGAGGGGGGCGGGGGGCGCAACAGCCCGGGACGGCCTTTCCCCGGGGTCCGGCCCGCGGCGCCTCGCCCACTGGCGCGCCTGTGGGCCAGATTGAGGTCGCCCGGCATGCATGCGCCGGCATCCTCCGCCCCCTCCCGACAGACGCACACGGCCCGCGCTGCCGCGCCCGGGCCCCGCGAGACCCGCGCACCATGGGGCGCCCACATGCCCTGCCGCGCCCGGGCCCCGCCCCCCCGGCCCTCGGCCACTTCGCCCACGCTACGCGTGTTAATCCGCCCTCCCCCCCCCCCCCCCCGCAGTGCCCGCACCCTGGGGCCGAGGGGTTCTGGCCAAGCACATGAAAAGCGCGCCTGCGCGCGTTTCCTCCGCCGGTTGGGCATGCAAACCGCGCTCCCGGCGCCGAGGGAGACTCAAGTGTGGCGCAGAGGGCCGCCACAACCGGCCCGGGTTATATCCCTCGCTGCTCCACCCACCCCCCCCTCCCGGGGGCTCCCCCCGGCCCCGAGAGTCCCCGGGCGCCGGGTCCCCACAACGGGCGGGGGGCCTCGAGCAATGTGAAATAGGCTCCGGGCATCTAGCAGTTGCGCAAGTGTGTGGATCCTCCACATTACCGCACCGGACAGGGCCCATGCCTACGCCGCTCCGGCCTGGGCGCCGCGCCCGCCGCCCCCCCAGGCGCTAGGCCCTCATGAACTCGACCACCCAAGCGCGGGCCACCGGGGACACTGGCGGCACGCCTCTAGATCCTAAACTCCCGGGATCATGTGCCCGAGGGCTGGAATACCAGAACAACACAAATCCTCCAGAAGGGCGCCCCTGGCCGGTGCCCGCCGCGCGCGCCCTCCTGCCCCCGCGCCCGGGCAGGGCCCCCCCCCCCCGCCCTTGGCTCGACGCCGGTCGCATGTGTGCTCTCCTCCGCCATTGGCCGGTCTTGGCCACGCACCCTCCTGGCTGTCCCAATCTGCCCGATCGCCCGCGGAGCCCGCGCGGGCATGGGCCCGTTCGTTCGCACGGGCACACGTGGCCAGTCTTGGGTGTCTCTCTGTCCTCCTCGTCACTTGTTTCGCTCTTGCCGTCGCTCTCGCTCTTCCCCACCTCCCTGTCTCTTGCTGTCCCTGTATCCCATTCTTTGTGTCTCGCCCCCCCTCCCCCGTCCCCCCCCCCGCTCCCTCGGCCCAGCTTGCATGGCCTCAGAACTGGCGGGGCGAGCGCCAGCGCAGGCACATGCGAGATTGCTGCCATCAGAATATTCGAGTCCAGCTCAAGAGGTGCTGTGGATCGATGGCTCCTCTCCACCCGAGCCTCGGCACCACCTCCCCCCTCCCTCTCCCTCTCCCCTTCTCATCCCCCCCTTCCCACTCTCTCGTCTCCGCCTCATTGCCCCTTTCCCTCCGAACACTCGCCTGTCGCCTCCCCCCCCCGCCTTCCACGAGAACACCCCCCCCTCCCCCCTCGGGGCCTCGGTTGAATAGCCCCCGGTATCTCCCTTCGTCGAGCTCTCAGCTGCACTTGTGCGCCCTCTCCCGCTTCTCCTGCTCCCTCTCCTGTTTCCTGCTCCCTCCATCCCCCCCCCCCCCTCCCCCAGGGGTTTCCGCCCGGAGGGGCGCGGGCTTCCCCTATTACTAGAGCCTACTGTGTGCGCTGCACGAGACACCAGCAGGGCAGACTGGCGACATCCACGCCGCCGCCCCACGGCAGGACTCTCTCTCTTTCTCTCTGGTCTTCCGGTCCCCGCGCCAGCCCCCCCCCCCCCCCCCCCCCCCCGCCTCTCCCTCCCACCTCCCCCTGACATCGACCATGGCCCTCGCCGACATCCCGTCGACCACAGAAAACCATGAGTCTCCTGCGCTTCGCCTCTCAGGTGGCCACGGTCGGGCTTCGTGCACCCGTAGTTCACTACCGGGTATCCCCCACTCTGTCGGCCTTCTTCTCCGACAGTGGCGATGACTCGGAAAGCACCGCCTCGCTCCCGAGGCGGACCTATAGCACCTCCTCGGAGGGTGGGCCCCGGCGGAAAAGCCGCGGCCGGGGTGGCTCTCGCGCGGCGCGCGCCGCGGCCGAAAACGAACTGGACGATCGCCTGGACGACGCGGACATCCAGCACCTGATGAAGGAGTATGCCGCCACCCGGGGCCCCTCATTGAACCAAACCCGGCGGGAAATCCTCGATAGCATCCCCCTGACCGGCGACCCGGAGGTGGATCGCCTGCGCCGGGCCCAGGCCAATGCCGACCTGCACTTCATGTCCGTCACGCCGGAGGAGCAGATCTCCCTGTCGGAGCTGGAGCGCCTCAACCGCCGGCCCCGATTGGACTACCTGCAAAACTTGATGGACCAATCCCGCCTGGATACCAAGCCGGCCGACAGTCCGGCGGACCCGGAGCAGCTGGAGCAGGAGGGCGACCGCCTCATGGCGCGGGCCCTCTTCGGCCAGCTTCCCAACCCGGATCAGGCCCTGGAGAAGATGCACATCCAGCTGAAGGCCGGTGGCAGCCTCACCGGGCCCATCCTGTCGGAGGAGGAAATTGTCACCCGCATGCTGGAGGCGCAGGAGCGCGACCGGCCCACCCCCGAGCGCTTCCTTCAAAACCTGCAGGAACATGCGCCGGAGGCTCCGGAAAGCATGCGCACCCTGCTGCAAATGGCCGAAGCCAAGTCCGGGGTCTCGACCAAGCAGCTGGAGCAGGAGTGGGAACGCGACAAGCTGGAGTACAAGCGCCGGAAGTTGGAATACCTGCGCGCCGGTGGCATTGTCGATCCCATGCACGACTCGGATCACAGCGACGCCGAGATGTATGAGACCATGCGGGTGGCCAGTTCGCGCCTCTACACCAAGCAGGACCTCGACAGCCCGGAGGCCATGAAGATCCACCTGCCCGGGGAACGCCTCTACACGGACAAGGAGATCGCCGATGCCAATTACATTTGGACCCACTTGAAGAAGGTGGAAACCTTCCACCAAGTGGCGGAGGAGCTGTCCCACTCCCTGGCTCAGCAGCAGGATATGCCCGAGCGATCTCCCCTCCGGGCCGTGGAGATGGAGCGCTTGCGTGCCGAGCGGGCTGCTCGCCGTGCCGAAAGCTGGGCCTCCCCGCCCAGCATGGCCTCCCTCTACGAGGGGGACGAGGACCCCGGCGAGGATTCCGACAGTCGGGCCACCTTCAATTCCCAGCGTCTGATGAACCAAGCCATGCTGCTGGACCCCCGGTCGGCCGAGGTGGATGGGTTTAATGCCACCGGGCCGGCGCATTCCTTCACCCTCGGCGGGTCGGCCGCGGCGGCCGGCGCCACCGACGACGACGACGACGACAATGGGCCCGCCGGCCCGGGCGACCGGACCCTCACCCCGATGCAGGATGCCGGGGCCTGGGGCTCGGCCGGCATGTGGGAGGACCCGCCGGGGCCGGGGTCGGGCTTCGACCCGGCCGCCACCATGGCGGTCCTTCCGCCGGCCGATGCCGAGCGCCGTGCGGCCATTCTCCAGCAAATTCAACAAGCCCAGCAGAAGACCCTCCTGCGGCACCACATCGAGGACCAGGTGGTGCAGGCCGAAACCTTCAATCGCCAGCAGGACAAGGAGGAGGAGAACACGCGCAAGATCACGCAGTCCCTGCGGCGCCGGCTGCCCGAGGGGAAGCAGCATCTGGCCGACCTGAAGGACATCGACCTGCTGACCCGGTCTCCGGAGCAGGCGGCCACCATTTTGCCGCACTTCCTGGAGGACGGCATGGAAATGTTGAAGACCCTGCGCAATCCCGATCTCCATGAGCAAAAGGCCGATGCCCTGAATGCGGAGGCCCTCGGCGAGGCGCTGATCACCAGTGCCGACCAGGAGCTCGAGCAGCAGGTCGAAATCCACCGCCGGCTGTTGGCCATCAATGAGAAGCTGAACCAGCTGGAGGAGCATCTGCCGGCCCTGGCCCAGCATCACCAGGTGTCGCGCTTTGCCCGGAACATTGTCCGCCACGCCAGTGCCACTTTGCAGAATTACCCGACCCAGCTCATCCAGGACCAGGTGGAGGCCGGGACGCTGGTGCTTCCCCCGCCGGAGGTGTTGAATTCCCTCCGGCACGGGCACCGGGCCAGCGCCACCAGCAGTTACCTGGCTCGGCCGACGCTGCATGTGCCTCGTCCCGGGCCGGATGCCTACACCGAGCCGGCGGCTCGGATCCAGCTGAATCCCACCCCGCTGGCGGAGTCGACCCGCATCACGACGATGCCCTACTCGGAGTTCAGCCGCCGGTTCAACTCCCCGCACTATGACGCCACCCTGGCGCACTTGGGGAGCCTGCCGGACATCGACTCGCCGGAGGAGCTGGCCCTGCCGGAGGCCGAGCGCCAGGAGGCCCGCATTGGGACTTCCCTCGATCAGGTCACGCGCCTGGAGCAGACCATGTCCCTGGTGACCACCATCGAGGAGCTGGCCGATGAGCTGGCTGACGTCCGGGACTCCATGGCCCCGGAGACGCTGGCCTTCCTGGATCGGTTGGTTTTCGCGGCCGACATCGCCAAGCAATTCTCCTTCGGCCAGCAGGTGGACGGGTCCTTCGACATTGCCCAGTTCCTGGACGACTCGCTTGGCGATCTGAACCTGGAGTCGGACGACTCGGCCGATGAGTCCGCCGGTCCGGGGCCGGTCCGGGTGCCGCTGTCACGCAAGGCGGCCGCTCGCCAGGCGGCCGCCGCGGCTGCCGCAGCCGCTGCCCAGGCCGCGGCCGATGCCGAGTCCGGGTTCCCCGGTGAGGCCATGTTCGACACGGCCCCCACGGACTCGGATGACTGGCAGCATGCCCCGTCGGCCGGATCGATCGGCGTCCTCCGGGCGCGCCAGGCCCTGGCCCGAGCGGCGGACGGCAGCCCGCCCCCGAGCAACATCACCGAAGCGGTGCGTGCCCAGTGGCTGCCGGGTCATTTGCAGAAGCCCGGCACCCTGGCCTCGTATGAACGCCTGCGCGAGGTGGCCGCCGTGAAGAATGCCGCCTCGCCGGTGGATCTGTCTCAGACCCCGCTGGAGCGAGCCCTGCGCGCGGCCACCGGCGAGCGGGTGGACTCCCTGCTGGCCGACCCGGCCACCGGGGCCCTGCTCGGCGAGCAGACTCGCGTGGCCACCGGGCCACACGCCCTGCCCGGGGCCAACACCATGGGCCAGCCGGCCGGCGGCTTCTTCAGCAACATGTTTGCCGACTCGGCCGATCCCTCGAGCCAGTCCCAGAATGAGGGCACAGCGCTGTTGATGTCCTCCCCGGGCAAGGCCCCTTCCAAGGAGGATGCCCGGGCGTCTCTGCATGATCCGGAGCTCGTGAAGAAGGCGCTTTCCGAGAAGTCCGCCCAGTCGGCCGGGTCTCCTCCGGGTACCGGCGCTGCCCGCGGCGGTGTGGCTCTGGTTGCGGATGATGGCCACAAGTCGGGGCTTCCCTCGCCGGAGGCTCTGCTGTCCAGTGCCTCGCTTGGCAAGCAGTTTGTCATGGGCTCGCTCCGTGAATCGGTTTCCTCTCACCTGCCTTTGGCGGTGTCGGATTTGGTGGCTGTGCGTTGTCTGCTTCTTTTTCTCTCTTTCT